GAGCATAAAACAAAGATTCTTGAGTTTTCTAGAGAATTCTTCTTTTGGGACACAATGACCATTCTACCCCTAATTAGTAGGAAAAGTGGGGAGTAAAATGAAAGGAAATTTAGTAGAGATTGTGTTTAGATGGGGGTGTAATTGTAAAGAATCAAAGGATATAGATGGAATTTTCAAGAAAGGACAAGGGCAAAATGGGAAATGAAGCTTATAATATGAACTAAAAAGAGTAAAGTGTAGAGAAAGCCCTTATTCATTTCATTCCACCGCCTCTTCCATTTGCCCATATTCTCTCAATTTCTCCACCCAATTTTCCAAGAGTTCTAAGGGATTTAAGAGGGGTTTTGAGTAGAGATTTCATCTAAAGCTTCCTAAGGTAAGAATTCATGCTTTAGATGTGAGTTTTCTTGTATTTATAGTGAGGTCTTATTGTGTTGTTGCTGCCCTTGTGGTTGTTTTGAGTTGTAGAGAAGAGACAAGTCCACAAAGGGAAGGAAAAGTGCTAAGGAAGCCATCTTTGCACAAGGTAAGTAAATCCAACCAAGTTGAGTTATGACTAAGCTTTGAGTAGAGACTTATTTTAATTATGTATGTACATGGTATACCTACTGAAAATTGAGATGAGATGTGTGCTTAGTCTTAGTAGTTGGGATTGATTAAATATGAGAAGTGTTGTTGATATGTGTATTGAGAATGGAGTTTGAGATGAAGTTTGAGAGATGTTGTGTAATCCTTTTTGGGAGTGCTTTTCTTGACAGGGATTATGAGTAATTGAGGGAGTTTTTCCCCAATTTGGATGGCTAGAAAAATGAAGTTTAGTAGTAATTTTCGTAGGGTGTTTATATGCACATGAGATGTTTGAGGAAATGCCTAAGTGAAATCTGCCCTGTCACTGCCGTAACTTTCTGAGTAATTTTTGAGTATCTTACGGTTCGAACTGGGCTGAGACCAAAACAGAGAAGTTGTAGCCCTGTTTCTAAGCTTTGAAACGAGACCAGAACCGTAGTAATCCGAGGTGTATAGCATAAGTTATGGCCGTTTTAGTGTGACTGGTGCAGAATGACTGTTTTGAGGAAATCTTGTAGTTGGCATTTCATTAGTGCATTAGGGAGCATGAGCTAGCTCTACACCTTTGTTTATACACTTGAGAAGTAGCTTGAGATTTAGTATAGAATGTGAGTATAAGTTCTTTAAGAGTTAAGAGAATAGAGTAGGTTGTGCGATGGGGAACCCGTGAGTAATGGGTAGAGTATTCCCGCATGTACGCCGCATTGAGAGCGCGGCATGAGTATCAGATAGAGAAGTGGTGTAGCCCGTGAGAGTGCATGCGGATGAGGGCTATACCCGAGTACCCGAGAGAGAGAGATTATATACTCACATGGCCAAGGGTTCCGAATCCATGCATAACCGAGTCCGATCGGCTAGAGTGAATAGAGGTCACGTAGAGCGGGAGTGAGTCCCGGCCGTGCCCCCGGTGAGATGGGGTCGTGATTTATGAAAAAGTTATGAGAAAAGAGTTTCTAAGAGAAAGAGAAAGAGGAAAAGAAAGACGTACCCAAAGAAATATTGAACGGGGAGTTGTAAGGAAAGAATTAGAGATAGAGAGTTACGGGGCTAGCATGAGTAGAGGATTTACTTACTGAGCATTGTTTAGTGCTCACCCCGTTGTTTTCCTATGTTTTGCAGGACCTAGGTGAGGACACTGTCGGATGGATGTCGGCGTTCGAGAAGGAGTGGCTACACTGTCCCTTGTGTTTTTGATAACTTATGTTTATGTTATGCATTTTGTGTAAAAATGTATATGTTTGAAAAGAATATGTATATATGTTTAATAAAAGAAAATTTTGGGCCCAATTTCTTTATTTTATTTTTATGTATTTCATTATAATCTTTTGAGTAGTAGTGGCTATTACAATTAACAACCTTTGCCTGCTCATTTTGGAACCTCGTTAAATTTGAGGTCAGTGATTCATCCCGTTCTTGGCGAATGTTGCTCAAGTAGTTGAGCGGCATTGCAAATTGTCTCCTCGCTTGAAATTGATGTAGGAACAGTGCGGAGAATTGTTGCCAGGAGTTGATGGAGTTCGCTTTAAGCCACTTTTACCACCTCATGGCATCCCTGACCAATGTGACTGTGAAGCACCGACATTTCGCTAAATCACTGACCTGATGTAGCTCCATCAGGTCATTAAAGTTATCGAGGTGATCTCTGGGGTCTCTTCTCCCAACGAACTTGCTCTCGGTGCCCTGAACCCTTGTGGGAGGGGGGCTTGGCGAACTTCTTCCGTAAAGGGGGAACTTACTATTTCTTTTGCCAGGTTGTTCTAGTAAGCTTCTAGATTGTCGAACATCTTTTGCATGCGATCTAAGTCGTTTGGTTGTCCTGGTTGGCTCTGTTAAGTTGTACCTTGAGCAAATAAGTTTGCAAGTCTGTTGCTTGTGAAGCTCCTCCGATGCGTGAGGTCGAGTCATGATGGCTAGGTTGGTAGGTGCTATCATGCTCGTCAATGCGTTGCTCGCAACTTCGGTCATAACAGAAACGTTAGTCATTGCCAGATTGTCGCACATGGCTCACTTCGCGGGCCTATGAAGATCGATTTGGTCTTGGGCATGGGTTAAAACCGGCACGCTGACGTTGGGGATACCGTCGAGGTTCTCGGTTGTGTTCGTTGCCTTTGCTTTCCCTCAGTGGCTGCTTCCTTGATCGCCTCCCAAGGTTCGTTTGCCCGTGGGACTCATGCTTGTGCGTGGAGTGTTGCTTGCGAGGTTAGAGGTGTTGATCATCCCTTGGCGATGACGATGCGGACTGTCCACCTGCAAAATTCATACCTGTTAGGGTGGCGTTGGCGAAACACGGCTGATCAAGGTTCTGGGCAATTGGTTGTTGATTCTTTAGCTTAGCCACGTTCTGTTGCACCACCTGTGCAACCATTGTCCTGATTATTTCCATCAGCTGGCCATTCTCGGGGTTTGACGTCCCTGCCCCTTGGTTGTTTGCGGCGTGTTGGGCTGGCAGCATGGGTGGTCGACGCCCAGTGTTCTCCTGTTGCACCTCTTGATGGGTGGTTTCCACGTTTTCGTGATTTTCGGTGGTAATTCTTGATCTGGTGAACACCATTTTGATCTTGGGACTAGTAAATTGCAGTGAACGTTTGTTAGAATCTTCGAGATATTGGCGGAAGACCCTCATTCTAGCACCAAAATGTTGGTATAAAAATTTGCACCAACTCACGAGATCTGATCAACCTTACCGAGATAGGAATTGATGTGTGCGTGATTAAGAACAATCAGCAATGTATGTAAAAAGAATGCAATAAAGTAAAGACAATGAGAATTTTAAAGTGGTTCGGCGAGGTTAACTCTAAAGCTACGTCCACTGTTTTTGTATTTGCTATGAGAGCTTACAGTATAGTTTCTATGTGAAAATCGTGGCCCCTTCCTCATCGTTTGAGGGGGTTTATATACAAGATTTATACAAAGAAAAGAGCGAAATGAAGGGGATTACAATTGATCTGAATTGCAATTTCGATATTCTCGCGATTGGGCACTGTGATTGCGTAGTGATCGCTGTTAATTTAGTCATTCTCGCAATATCTGATATTTGAAGTAATCTGGAGGTTGATTAAATGATTTCTTCAACTATCCGCGACTAGCTTGTGCTGGGTCAAGCTTTGGCTCGACGAACTTATGCTGGTCGATCAATCATTGTTGCCGAGCTCATTCTGGGTTAAGCTATATCCTCGCGTTGGCCCGAGCTTGGCAGAAAAACCGCACACAACATATTGTATTATTTCTGAATTTATGTTATATTACATCAAAAATATGTATATATAATATCATTCGAACATTCTGTTAAAAAATATTATAACTTAACTTAAAATTTTATTTTAAAACATTACAAAATTCAAATCAATCATTTATCATAATGTAGATATCGAGATTATTTTAAATAACAACATTAATGGGTGCGTTTGGTTTATTATTTTGGATAGGATTTTGGGGATAGTATTGGGTTGTTGGATAATGAAGTATTACGAGGTAAATTTTAAAAATTTATGAAAAAGCCCTTAGGTTTACTAATTTAATTAAAGACCCTAATATATAAAATGACAAAAACACCCCCACCACCTGCAGTGCCAGATTCCGGCCACCACCGTCGGAATCTGGCCGAAAAATTTCGTTAGGACACAAACCGGTCGGATCTGTGCCATAACGAGTTGTTATGGCCTTTTCCGGCCAGATCCACCACGAATCTGGTCGGAAAAGGCCAAATCTACGAACTGCTGTGGCTGCGATGGTCGAAAAAGGCTGAAACGATGGCCATCTTTGGCTGTCAGCGACGGCAGATCTGGCCTTTTCTGGCCAAATCCATTGTGGATCTGGCCGGAAAAGGCTAGATCTGGCCATTACCGTTTTTTCCGGTGGCTGTGTGATTATTGTGATAGATTCCGGCTACCACCGGCGGTGGTTGCCAGAATCTGGCAGGTACTGTGGGTGGGGGTGTTTTTGTTAGTTTTTAAACTTTTTTTCTGGGGGGTATTTAATGAAATTAATAAACTTATAGGGTCTCGATGTAATTAAAAAAAATAGACTAATATTTTGGAAATAACGTGCCAAATAATATTTGAAAAATATGATTGAGAATATGGATAAAAACAATAAGCCAAACGCACCCAATATTATTATTTTAATCCTAAATCTTAGCCGTTCAGTTGAATAGAATGAATGATAAGCAAGTTTATGCTACAAATTACAATATAAGTTTAAAAAAGCTTTGAATTTAATTATAATTAATGGTAATGAAATTATATTTAATTTAGTTTAAGAAAAAATTCATTAGAATGAGAAGAAATAATTATTTTAAAAATCTTTTCCAACTCATAAATCTAATCAAGGTTAAATTCCTCAAAACGCATCGTTTTATCGTCTTCTACTTGAGCATTCGTTAAAACTGCCACTTAGACTTTCCGACCCGCCAAAGCAGGCAAGATCAAACCGTTAAATTCTTTCTAAATGACCATAAAACCCTCGCTGAACCCTCAAAAACCTGCAAAACTCCTCCTCTGCAAACGTCCCAAAACCTCGCCAAAATCCTCTACGAGTCCATGGAACACGCGCTTAAGACAACTTGCGAACCACTCGCTCTTCCCGCAAGCCCTCTCTTTGTATCGCCAAATGCTCCGTTTTGGCGTCACGCCGAACGCCTTCACTTTCCCTTTCGCCCTCAAATCATGCGCCGTTCTTTCGCTCCCATTCCCCGGTTCTCAGATCCACTGCCACGTCATCAAGACTGGGTGTGAACTGGAGCCCTTTGTGGTCACTTCTCTCATTAGTTTGTACTGTAAATGCGCTTTACTGGATAGCGCGCACAAGGTGTTCGATGAAAGTTCAAAGGTAATGAAACTGACTGTTTGTTACAATGCTTTGATATCTGGTTATGTGTTGAATTCGTGTGTTATTGATGCGGTTTTGTTGTTTGGTAAAATGGGGGAAGTGGGTGTGGAAAGGAATGCAGTTACGATGCTGGGATTGTTACCGATATGTTTGGTGCCGGGTTTTTTGTGGCTTGGGATGTGTTTGCATTGCTTATGTGTGAAAATGGGTTTAGATTTTGCTTTGTCTGTGGCGAATTGTTTGGTGACAATGTATGTGAAATGTGGGTCTGTTGAGTACGGAAGGAAGTTGTTCAATGGGATGCCTGAAAAGGGATTGATTACTTGGAATGCTATGATTTCTGGGTACGCGCAAAATGGGCTTGCTACTCACGTTTTAGAGCTCTATAAAGAGATGGAGTCCTTTGGGGTTTGTCCTGATGCTGTTACGTTTGTTGGGGTCCTTTCTTCTTGTGCTTACCTTGGTGCGCTTGGTATTGGCCATAAGATTGAAAAACAGATTGAAGTAAATGGTTTTGACTCGAACCCATTTCTCAATAATGCTCTGATTAATATGTATGCGAGGTGTGGTCATTTAAAAAGAGCACGGGCCATTTTTGATGCCATGCCTTTGAAGAGTGTGGTTTCGTGGACTGCAATCATAGGTGGATATGGAATGCATGGACAAGGAGACGTTGCGGTGGAGCTCTTTGATGAGATGATTAAAAGTGGTGTTAGACCTGATGGAACAGCATTTGTGAGTGTTCTGTCTGCTTGTAGCCATGCAGGACTGACTGATAAGGGCTCAGATTATTTTGCTTCAATGAAGAAACAATATGGGTTGCAGCCTGGTCCAGAGCACTACTCATGTATGGTGGATCTTTTAGGCCGGGCAGGTCGGCTGAATGAAGCTCGAGAACTTATTCAATCAACACAAATAGAACCTGATGGTGCAGTGTGGGGAGCTCTTTTGGGTGCTTGTAAAATCCATAGAAATGTAGAGCTTGCAGAGTTGGCTTTTGAACGGGTCATTAGGCTTGAACCCACAAATATTGGTTACTATGTGTTATTGTCTAATATATATTCTGATGCCGGGAACTTGGAGGGTGTAATGAGGATTAGAGTGATGATGAAGGAGCGGAAGCTTAAGAAAGATCCAGGGTGTAGCTATGTTGAACTTAAAGGGATAGTTCACCTCTTCTTGGCTGGTGATAAAAGCCATCATCAAACAGCAGAAATATATAGAATGCTAGATGAGTTAGAAAATTTAGTTGAGGAACTTCGTGGGTCTACGAATATTGATAATAAAAGCAACAATGAATATTTGAATGGTATGGGAGTGCACAGTGAAAAGTTGGCAATTGCATTTGGGCTCTTAAACACAAGTCCAGGAACAGATATTGTTGTGATGAAGAACCTACGGATATGTGGAGACTGTCATTTGTTTATAAAGTTGGTTAGCAAGATTGTAGATCGCCAATTTGTTGTTAGAGATGCAACCCGTTTCCACCATTTCAAGAGTGGACTCTGTTCTTGCAAAGATTACTGGTAACATCTATTTACGGTTCTCATATTGCAAATCATCTGGTCTTAGTCACTAGTCACTCCCACACGTGCTCAAAGTACTGGAAATTTGTATTGAAATGGATTGAAGTTGCAAGTGAACTGAAAGAAGGATTTCTTCAACCGATTCTAGCAAGTATTGGACACTGAAATTTTTGCACTCCATAAGAATTCCTTGATTTTAGATTTTCTCATCATGAAGGTTCATGAAGAATGAAGACAGAAGCCATTGGCCTTAACTGATAAAATCTCGCATGATCACTCCGTGGTCCATAGACATGAGACTGAATGAATATAATCTTCATCAGGAACCAGAAAGGTTAACGGCATGACTTCAGAGTTTGGCACACATCCATTGTAGAATTTCTACTGCCCACAATAAAGAGTGCTCCACTGTACAATGTCGAGAGATAAGCTTTCAGTGTGAAGATACTAAAGCATTTAGGTTGTGTTTTTATGAATTTTGTGTATCCGTTTTCTGTTTTTTCGAGAACAGACATACAAAATTAGGTTATGATAGAATCTAGCTATTTGCCTTTTCAAACCTTAATTCACAAGTATCCACAACCTTATTGTAGCTCTGTTGCACTTTTTCTCTTAAATTTTTTCGACAGTTAAATTCCTCAAAACGCATCGTTTTATCGTCTTCCACTTGAGCATTCGTTAAAACTGCCACTTAGACTTTCCGACCCGCCAAAGCAGGCAAGATCAAACCGTTAAATTCTTTGTAAATGACCATAAAACCCTCGCTGAACCCTCAAAAACCTGCAAAACTCCTCCTCTGCAAACGTCCCAAAACCTCGCCAAAATCCTCTACGAGTCCATGGAACACGCGCTTAAGACAACTTGCGAACCACTCGCTCTTCCCGCAAGCCCTCTCTTTGTATCGCCAAATGCTCCGTTTTGGCGTCACGCCGAACGCCTTCACTTTCCCTTTCGCCCTCAAATCATGCGCCGTTCTTTCGCTCCCATTCCCCGGTTCTCAGATCCACTGCCACGTCATCAAGACTGGGTGTGAACTGGAGCCCTTTGTGGTCACTTCTCTCATTAGTTTGTACTGTAAATGCGCTTTACTGGATAGCGCGCACAAGGTGTTCGATGAAAGTTCAAAGGTAATGAAACTGACTGTTTGTTACAATGCTTTGATATCTGGTTATGTGTTGAATTCGTGTGTTATTGATGCGGTTTTGTTGTTTGGTAAAATGGGGGAAGTGGGTGTGGAAAGGAATGCAGTTACGATGCTGGGATTGTTACCGATATGTTTGGTGCCGGGTTTTTTGTGGCTTGGGATGTGTTTGCATTGCTTATGTGTGAAAATGGGTTTAGATTTTGCTTTGTCTGTGGCGAATTGTTTGGTGACAATGTATGTGAAATGTGGGTCTGTTGAGTACGGAAGGAAGTTGTTCAATGGGATGCCTGAAAAGGGATTGATTACTTGGAATGCTATGATTTCTGGGTACGCGCAAAATGGGCTTGCTACTCACGTTTTAGAGCTCTATAAAGAGATGGAGTCCTTTGGGGTTTGTCCTGATGCTGTTACGTTTGTTGGGGTCCTTTCTTCTTGTGCTTACCTTGGTGCGCTTGGTATTGGCCATAAGATTGAAAAACAGATTGAAGTAAATGGTTTTGACTCGAACCCATTTCTCAATAATGCTCTGATTAATATGTATGCGAGGTGTGGTCATTTAAAAAGAGCACGGGCCATTTTTGATGCCATGCCTTTGAAGAGTGTGGTTTCGTGGACTGCAATCATAGGTGGATATGGAATGCATGGACAAGGAGACGCTGCGGTGGAGCTCTTTGATGAGATGATTAAAAGTGGTGTTAGACCTGATGGAACAGCATTTGTGAGTGTTCTGTCTGCTTGTAGCCATGCAGGACTGACTGATAAGGGCTCAGATTATTTTGCTTCAATGAAGAAACAATATGGGTTGCAGCCTGGTCCAGGGCACTACTCATGTATGGTGGATCTTTTAGGCCGGGCAGGTCGGCTGAATGAAGCTCGAGAACTCATTCAATCAACACAGATAGAACCTGATGGTGCGGTGTGGGGAGCTCTTTTGGGTGCTTGTAAAATCCATAGAAATGTAGAGCTTGCAGAGTTGGCTTTTGAACGGGTCATTAGGCTTGAACCCACAAATATTGGTTACTATGTGTTATTGTCTAATATATATTCTGATGCCGGGAACTTGGAGGGCGTAATGAGGGTTAGAGTGATGATGAAGGAGCGGAAGCTTAAGAAAGATCCAGGGTGTAGCTATGTTGAACTTAAAGGGATAGTTCACCTCTTCTTGGCTGGTGATAAAAGCCATCATCAAACAGCAGAAATATATAGAATGCTGGATGAGTTAGAAAATTTAGTTGAGGAACTTCGTGGGTCTACGAATATTGATAATAAAAGCAACAATGAATATTTGAATGGTATGGGAGTGCACAGTGAAAAGTTGGCAATTGCATTTGGGCTCTTAAACACAAGTCCAGGAACAGATATTGTTGTGATGAAGAACCTACGGATATGTGGAGACTGTCATTTGTTTATAAAGTTGGTTAGCAAGATTGTAGATCGCCAATTTGTTGTTAGAGATGCAACCCGTTTCCACCATTTCAAGAGTGGACTCTGTTCTTGCAAAGATTACTGGTAACATCTATTTACGGTTCTCATATTGCAAATCATCTGGTCTTAGTCACTAGTCACTCCCACACGTGCTCAAAGTACTGGAAATTTGTATTGAAATGGATTGAAGTTGCAAGTGAACTGAAAGAAGGATTTCTTCAACCGATTCTAGCAAGTATTGGACACTGAAATTTTTGCACTCCATAAGAATTCCTTGATTTTAGATTTTCTCATCATGAAGGTTCATGAAGAATGAAGACAGAAGCCATTGGCCTTAACTGATAAAATCTCGCATGATCACTCCGTGGTCCATAGACATGAGACTGAATGAATATAATCTTCATCAGGAACCAGAAAGGTTAACGGCATGACTTCAGAGTTTGGCACACATCCATTGTAGAATTTCTACTGCCCACAATAAAGAGTGCTCCACTGTACAATGTCGAGAGATAAGCTTTCAGTGTGAAGATACTAAAGCATTTAGGTTGTGTTTTTATGAATTTTGTGTATCCGTTTTCTGTTTTTTCGAGAACGGACATACAAAATTAGGTTATGATAGAATCCAACTATTTGCCTTTTCAACCTTAATTCACAAGTATCCACAACCTTATTGTAGCTCTGTTGCACTTTTTCTCTTAAATTTTTTCGACAGGTAAATTAATAAAAAATAGACTCTGTGAAGAAATACTTTGTTTTGTTACATATTTCACAATGAAATGTATAATGAATTTATAGCAAAAAATAAAACATTAATCTAGGAAGTAATTTGATCCTAACCTAATATAGAAGATGGTCTTTAATGAGAATAATCCTATTTCCTATTTTACAATGAGAATAATCTTATTTCCTATTTTACACTTCAACACCCTCTCTGGAGCATATAAGTCATATGCACCAAACTTGTTACAAATAAAATCAACAAGAGAACCCTTGAGAGACTTAGTGAGGATGTCTGCTAACTGGTCGTTGGAACTGACTTAACTAGTTGCAATACACCCTGATAGAACTTTCTCTCGAACAAAGTGACAATCAATTTCTATGTGTTTAGTCCTCTCATGAAACACTGGATTTGAAGCAATATAAAGGGTAGCCTGATTATCACAGAGTAACTTCATTTGTGATACTTTGACAGATCTCAACTCTTGAATTAGTTGTTTTAACCAAACAAGCTCACAAGTGGCTAAGGCCATTGCACGATACTCTGCTTCAGCACTTGACCTTGCAACAACCGCTTGTTTCTTACTTTTCCATGAAACTAGATTTCCTCCAACAAGAACACAAAAACCTGAGGTAGAACGTCTATCAAATGGAGAACCCACTCAATCAGCATCTGAATATTCGACAATATATGAATAACCCTTATTTTCATACATTAAGCCTTTACCTGGTGCTCCCTTGATATATCTTAAAATCCGAACAACTGCATCCCAATGACTATCACATGGAGTTTGAAGGAACTGACTTATAACACTGATAGAAAAGGAAATATCAGGTCGTGTGATAGTAAGATAGTTAAGTTTTCCAACAAGTCTTCGATACCTTCCAGGATCAGCAAGAGGCTCCCTCTGTCCAGGTGAAAGTTTTAAATTAGGATCCATAAGAGAGTCTATTGGTCTGCAATCTAACATCCCTGTTTCCTCTAGAATATCCAGTACATACTTCCTCTGAGAAATAACAATACTAGATTTGGACTGAGCGACTTCTATGCCAAGAAAGTATTTGAGTAGCCCTAAGTCTTTCGTCTGAAAGTGTTTGAACAAGTGTTGCTTCAACTGTCCAATGCCATCTTGATTACTTCCTGTAATAACAATATCATCGACATAGACAACCAGATAGATACATTGCCCTGATGATGTATGTCTATAAAAAACAGAATGATCAGACTCACATCGAATCATACCAAAGTCTTGGATAATTGTACTAAATCGTCCAAACCAAGCACGAGGAGACTGTTTTAGGCCATATAAAGAACAACGAAGTTTACATACTAAACTAGATTCCCCCTGAGTAGAGGTGGAACAAATGGGCCGGGTTAGGAGGGTCAACCCTAGCCCGGCCCGCAATGAAGCGGGTTGAACCCAGCAGCAACCCCCGAGTGGGCCGGGTTGCAAAATGGCAACCCGCAACCCAGCGGGTTGCTGTTTTGTCTCTTTTAAAAGAGACCCGCCAACCCACCGGGTTGGCTGTTGTCAACCCGGCAGGTTGACTGTTTAGAATGACGGCCAACCCGCCGGGTTGACAATAGCTAACCCGGCGGGTTGGCCCAAAAAAAATAAAATAAAAAATAAAAAATTTAATTTTTTTTTCAAATTACCCCTTTACCCATGAAATATAGCCGTTGGAAGGGTCTTTTTCGTCATTTTTCTTTCCCATTTTTTTCTATAAATTGGCCCTAAACTCTCACATTTTTCTCACAACTCAAATTCTCTCATTCTCTCATATTCTCTAATCTCTAATCTCTCAATTATTCATTTATTCTCTTAATCTCTTTGTTATCAATTTGCTCGTATTTTAATTTTTATTAGTTTTTGTAATTTTTTAATTCATATTTCCAATTTCCATATTCCAATTCTCTTTCTTTAATTTTTTTCTTCTACATCAATTTTTTTTTCAACTATAATGATATATTTCTCTCCCATCAATTACAATGATGAAGGAAACTACTATCCTAGTCCTAGTCTCGCTGATTTACTAACATAAATGCAGAGGGATTCAAATAGTCCGCTTTCCCATTCTCAGAATCCAATACACCTCAAATATGCCCCCGTTCCAACAGCTCCCGGTGGTTCTAGAAGTCTCCTCATAATCGTC